AAAGCACTATTGAAATGAGATATATGTAGAATTTTCAAGAACTCGTAAAAAATACACTGTTTTTTTAAAGTGTCACAATAAAAATAAAATACATATGGAGACACATTGATAGGTGACATTTTAATGAAGTATCCGTTATATGAGTGCAATAATGTAGCATAATAATGTGACATTTCTTTTTTCTCACAATCCTTCTAATTGCAATCGGCTTATTAATTTAGGGGTTTTACTTGCATTTTTTATGAAATATTATTGGATTTGTCCACATAAAGATATATAATTGCAAGATATCTATTTCTTAGTTATGAATAGGGAAATGCTGCATTCACGGTACGGAACCATTCCGTCGGAATTTGTAACCGTTAGATCATCATGTAATCGTCGTAGATAGTTGACATAACCGTTATAAATCTCGACAGAATCGTTCCGTAACAAGACCGTAGAATCTCCCGTTATAAATAAATGTATATCATTCCATTTTGATACAATAAATTATTTCTACATTTGACTTCAACATAAACTGCTTTTCGGAAACAAGAAATTAGATGGAAGTTCATAGATAAACTAAAGTCTAAATAAGAACATTCTGACACAAAATTTCGACTTCAACATTTCTTAATTCTTAAATTTTTACATAAAAAAAATAAAAAGCTATCTCAAACCTAAGCTTACATAGAAAAAGAAAGAAACATAAAAGAGAAGAAGACCAAAAAAAAAAAAAAAAATGCAAAATCTATTTTATAAGCAGAGAAGGTTTATAGATGGCGTAGCTTTGTGCAATTTCAATCCGTTCTCGTGGGTCATTCATGGTCTCGTCTCTCAAGGCTTGAAGAATTCCCTCAGGTGGCATCTCCCTTGAAGAATCAACAATTTAACAAAGATCACATGAATCAGATTAAAATTGGTGCCTGAATAAACTCTGATTAAAGTTTCACCTACCTCAGAATCAGTATTTTATACAGCATTTTCAAGATCGGACATAGCTCGACTGGCGCAATGTGATTATTTTCGTTGGGTTGCGAAACATTCTTCATATGAGACTGACTCAGCAACTCGTAAAAAGCTTTAACAGCAGAAATACCCTGTAATAAAATACAAATTATCCGTTGACAAGACAGACGGAAAACACGCATACCTGAATCACGCCCTTGCCTGAATTATTATTATTGTTACTATTATTATTTTTTTTAATGAATTTCAAACAAGCCATTTGGCCTATATTGTGCTCACTAGTTCAAGAACCCATTTGTTTAAAATGCGCATACCTGAATCATGCCCTTGCCTTTGATGCTGTCACCCATATCAAGGTTTATTTCCCCTTTGGCCAACTTGAGACCGTACCACGCATTACGACCTTTCAACAAGGTCACGTATGTGTCCGCTAAAAGGGGTCCTGCAAGCTTCTCAGGTTCCTCAGCTAAAAGATGGGTAATAAAAATCATCTCTGATGTGCAGTGAGCAAAATATACGGATTTGCTAGTCGCACTCTCGTTAGTTAGTGCTGCTACCATCCCTGGCCATTTCAGTATATGAAAATTTTAGAACTTTTGCTCATTAGCTAAGTCCAGATAATAGCATAGGTTACAACCACCGATGCCCCAAAAAGTGGGGGATAAAAAACCCACTGATTTTTTAATTATAGCAGAAAGTTTATCAATTGTCATGCAATAATTTCAGTTCTGGGGAAGATACCATAATTCAAAATATTCCTTCAACTTCTTACATGAGCCCAAAAAAATTGCAAGTGGAAACTTCCATGATTAGCGTTTATGCCGTCAGTAACAGCGAAAGCTAGTTACAATGATGTGCTTGGTTTAAATAACTCGCACAAGTGAGTCTGGTTTTATCTTCATATATTAACATCCAGGATCCTCATCCTACAAATTAACGTAAATGTTCTTTTCAACACAAGGTCACAATTTTATTCCGATAAATAGGTGTTCTACTTTTTGAATAAGAAAACAGTTTCAAAAACTTATAGATTAACAATAACTTTGTCGGAAATTTGGGAAACCAGACTGAAAAGTGAAAAGTAATCTTACCGGCCCCAATTGCATACACATTTTTAAGACCCCCCATTACTTCATGAGTGACGAGGTCACCGTTATCCCAAACAACAAAATGCGGCTGTCTCAGGAACCTGGCCAGTGGTTTCCTCCATTTTTCAGCTCCACAAATTCGAGCATTTGCATATTCTCTGTTGTAGATTTCTGATGCAATATTAGGTCCTCCAAGATAGAGAATGTTCTCCATGGGAATCCCAGCTGTAGATATGGGGGCATAAATGAGAGTACAGAAAATCAAGCATACATTAGTCATTTACTTATTCAAATTAGTAACACAAAAGGGTATAAAGCAGTGTTATTTTTACCACCAATCACAGGCTTCTTATATTCAGATATCGAAGAATGAAAGAAGTGGAATCCTCTAGCTAAAATGGGAAAAAAAATAAAAAGATACACAGATGAATCGATTAATTCACGGAATAAAGCTGTTCCAGATGAACATATGTGAGACTTAGACTTGAAATTCAGCAAGAAACAAGTAAAATAAACAAATCCTAGTAACGAATGCCTGAGAACTACAAGAATCCTAATATTTAAGATTCAAGAATAAAAAAAAGCGGTCTCTCAAAATTGCAGCCCTCTCAAAATTGCAGCCCAGGTACTTGAAATTCAGGTGCATCCATACAAACATCCACTCAGGTTCAAATATTTCCATCGAAATGAATTTATTTCACACTTTTCTAATATTCCCTTAAGGTTTAGCAAAATGAAGTAGGCAAAAATGACCAACGGTATATTTATCCCAAAATAAAGCACACACACCCCTATCTAACTGATTATCCAAGAAACTAGCAAAAGCAAACCTAAAAACTGATCTTACTCGCCCGGCTGATCATCTGAGTTGGGGTAACTATTCTCGGCTCGGGCTGCAGCTCAGCCTCGATCCCCTTGGCCAATGAAATAATAACTGGGGAACTAATCCTCTCCTTCCAGTACCTATTGATCTCCTCAAACACCTCCTGGGTCTCGGTTGAGGGCAGCCCGTTGACCACAATATCCGCATCCCAAACTGCCTCCTGCAAACTAGTCACCACCTTCAGTGGGCAAAGCGGGGTCTCGATCATATTTAGGCAAAACCCATCCCTCAAAATCTCGTCCGCGTACAGAACACGGTCGCCCAACCTTCCCTCCACGTACTTCAAGTACGCGCACCGCCTTATCAGCCTCCTCAACACCTCCTCCCTCGAGTTGATCACCTCGAACAGGTGCTGGGCCGTGGGCCGGTCCACAGAGCGACCCGCCCGCCTCCATATCCTGATCTGGACCTTGTCCCGATACATCCCGTACGCGTCCTGCAGCATTGCGGTGAAAACGCTGCCCCATGCCCCGGCGCCAACGCCGGTAATCCTCAGCGGGTCGCCGTCGGCTTTCCCGAACAGCTGCCGGAGATCGTCGATTTTGGCTTCCAAGGCGCCATTTGCTGGTGGAGCCGAACAATTCGAGCGCGCCGGGTCCCGCTCTGGACCTCCTTCCATCTCGCAACGATCGGACAATTCGAATTTGGGAGTAGCAGCAACCGGATTGTTCAGAGATGATAATCTTAGAAATATGCAATTTCAATATGAATGTGAAATGAGAGGAAAAGCGAATACCAAATTGGAGGGGAGTTTGATAATTGAAAAGAATTAGTAGGATGAAAGCGAAGGCGCGGTTTTGAGAAATGGGTATTTTTTTTTTTTTTNNNTTTTAACAATGAAGGAGGCCAGACAGTAGCACTACCGTGTGCCTTGGCACACCTAGCTAGGTGTGCCAAGACACATTTGCACGCGCCCCTCATTCCCCAAAATTAGAGAAACT